ATCTCCAGAATTTATTCATCTTGCACAACTGAAACTTTGTACCCTTTGACCAACATCTGCCCATCTCCTCCCATTGATCCCTCACTCCTGGCAACCACCATTCTACCTCTGCTTCTATGAGCTTGACTGTTTTTAATTCCACATGTGAAATCATACAGTATTTCTACCTCTTTCTTACTAATACTTGTCACAACTCATGTTTCTAATTGGGATCACTGAGTTGTACAATTTTAATGATCAGGACATTTATTAGTGACCCCAGAAATTTCAGGGGTCAGGACAAGACAGTACTTGAGTTATATTTGACCCAAGCCTACCCTATTCTCTAGATGGAGAAATCACCTATATTTTGTTCATATTAGATTTCTCAGTTTGACTTTCACCAGGGATTTGGTCAATTCATGACCATTATTAAGTCCCTGCTATGAACTTAAAGCTCACAAGGCCAGACTTTCACATTAAGGAACTTAATTATCTGCAATGTGCTCCTTGCGGAATCTTGTAGAAGCCCAGTTTTCTTAAATTCCTGCTGCTACTATGCGTTCTAGTACAGAGTTTCCTAGGATACTCAGTGAGAAACAACATGGTCCTGTTCTAGTCCCCTCATACCTTTCACCTGTCCTCAGCTGTGGTTTCTTGGCCTTGGTTAACCTGCACTGCTCTGTGGCAGATCAAAAATCCCTCTTCTCCACCCACTCTCCTCCTACAGTAGAACTTGATTTCTTTGGACAAATATGCCAGCCTCTTATTGCAAGCTAAGATGCAAAATAAATAGAGAAAACAAGATGAGTGGCACCCACAAGAGCCTGCCATTTTCAGACAGGGCTGATTTGAAGTGTGCCTACCCTAGAAACGAATACCACTGCCAGATCCCACTAACCAGAGGAATGATAAAAATGCAAGAGCTTTGCCCTCTCCGCATGAGAGTACATCCCACAAGAAATTCAGATGCCACTGCTGTCGTAATTCCCAAAATTCTATCCCAGAAAATACTACATTTTGCCAACTCTACATATGATGTTGTCTTCTTCTTGTTGTTCAGTCACTAAGTTATGTCCGACTCTTTGTGACTTCATGGACTGCAGCATGCCAGGCTTCCCTCTCCTTCACTCTCTCCTGGAGTTTGCTCAAAGTCATGTCCCTTGAGTCAATGATGCCATCCAACTATCTCATCCTCTGTTGCCGTCTTCTCCTACCCTCAGTCTTTCCCAGCCTCAGGGTCTTTTCCAAGATCTACACTGATTGTGCAGTTTGAGGAACCCCATTGTCTCTACATAAGACTTGGTCTTGCAAATTCCAGTCCCACAACATGGCAGCCTCTTTTAGTGCAAAGTGACTGGCTCTCCACACTGGACTATACTTACAAGAATTACAGTTTGAGGTCCCAAACAAACATGAGCAGCAAATGAATCTTGTTATCTAATAAAGCTGTCATCAATCTGGTTACACAATAAAGTCACATTGAATTCTAGTGAATAAAACAAAAATGATACTGGAGCTTCATCCCGAGAAACTCTACTTCTTACTGATGTAGAGTGGGCCTGGGTATCTCTGTTTACTAAAAGCACCTAGATGATTCTGATGGCTTCATAGCACTGGTCCAATGTGATATATTGCCACTTTCACCACGGATATTGTTCAGTAAGTCTAGGTTTGTGATTTCTGCTTGAAGTCAGGCCTCTCCCAGAGTTTCAGTTGCAGTCTACACCAGGCCCTTCACACCAAAGCCGGTGCTGGACAGAGAGCAGAAGATGGATGAAACCTGAACTCTGTATGCCTGGTTCTCCTCTGTTCCACAGTGTGTCTTCTCCATAAGTGACGTGGCTGTTTTCACACAGTGAACTCGTAGCCCTTTCTTTCCTCCCTAACCTGTCCAGCTGTAGCCTCAAAGATCGGTACAACACCTGTGGTTTCACACCTGGGTTCTCATTCCCTCCAGGTATCACTAATGAAAGGGGAGTGGGGAGAGGGCCACAGCACCCCCTGCAAACCTCTGATAAATACAGAAGTACCTTGAACTTCTGCTTGTATAATAGCAATGCTGCTGAATATTGTTACTGTCTCCTCCACTGCAAGCGCTGCAAAAACTGCACCAGTGCCTGGTACTTCGTGGGTGTTCAGTGAAATGTTTGATTGATACATAAATGAATGGACGAGGGAATAGATGGAGAAGAGCTGTTTCTATCACAGAAGTGGAAAGATGTTGTTGTGGCTTCACTGTTAGGGGCCAGTATGTTACATGGATCACTGGAACAACACGCAGAGGATTGGGGGAGCAGAACTCATAATCTTAACCTGAAAACTCAACACTTGCTCTTTTTCTTAAGCACAGGCTTGCCTCTTTTCAAGGCACCTAAACGTGCCATCTCCTTGTGCTCCATTTCTGCTTTTCTTCTTAGACCTCCCACACTGCAGTGGTCTGATTGTTATAAAATGCTCAGTTCTGCTTGCTTCGCCTGTACCATTTTCCAGCTCAATAGTAACCTACTTGTTATGTCCCTCCTTAAAATAACAGTGGGAGCTTTCCAGCTCTACAGCAGAGTTTCAGAGAGATTAGTTAAATGTACAGTAAGTCCTGTCTTACTCATTTTCTGACTTCTGCAGTGTTTTGAAAGTTCTGAACACTAAGACTGCTTATCCACAAGACCTTTTGAGTAATGGTATGTTTATTTTAGAATTTCGACCTAAATGGTAATTATATCACTGCATGTGGGAGAATGAAGCCAAGGCGTTTCAGTAATCATACAGTACCAGGGGCTTGCTGCCTGCTTCTGAAGAACTGGGGTTCAAGGAGAAATAAGCAGGAAGAACAGGATGAAGATCAGCTCCCTTTGCACTCTACTCTAGCTCACGTGATAACTTTTGGATCAAGGGACACTGTTTCTCTTCAATGTTAACTACTCTTAAGGAGACCCTCGGTGGCTCTGGAAAAGTTTAGGGTTTGAAAGGTACATAGCCTTTGAATCTCTTAAGGCTCTACAGAAATGGAGAAGATAAGTGGGATCAGCAATACTGAGGTCCATTTCTGTGAGTTCTGAAAATTGCTAAGATCCAAATCCAGCAACATCTGTTTTACCTACTTACCAATACCTTTATGCTTTGGGCTTGAGATAGTATTTTTGAAAATATTGTCCACAGACCTGCTTTAGAATCATCTAATGGTGTTTATTTAAAAACAAACAAAAAAACACATTTCTGAGCCCCGGATCTATTGCTTATTAGCAGAATCTCTGAGTGAGGCCTCGAAGTTACCCTGACCAAACCACTCAGCTAATTCTCTTGAACCATAAAGTCAAGACTGCTGGCTTGAGATTCCACCAATATTAAGCTTCAGATAAGCTTCAAATACTCCCAAAAGACAATAGCATTGTGAGCAAGTATTAGTCATTTTTCTTGAAGGATCTGAGATCAGCTTATGATAAAGTAATTGAGAAGAAGGTGAGGACACAAACACCCAAGGAGGAGGAACAGGACACCACGTAAAGAGAGAGAATGCCAGAGAGCCCAAGCAAACCTTCTCTACTTCACTCTTTTGCCCTCAGTTATTTGTCCTGTATCATAGTTTACTTCAGATCAATAGGCGTATATTGAGTCCCTGCCATGTCCAGGGCATTAGAGATAAAAAAGATTTGGGAACTTCCCTGGTGGTCCAGTAATTAAGACTGCACTTCCACTGCAGGGGGCACAGGTTTGATCCCTGGTCAGGGAACTAAGATTCCACATGCCATACAATGTGGCCAAAAAAATACACAAACATAAACAACACTGTCACTATCCTAGAGGAGTTTACAGTTTGCTAGAGAAGCAGACTCTTAAATAGGTAATTTACACTGATGTAAGCCAAAGATAAAGATTTGCACAAAAAACCTGGGGGCTGAGAAAAGGGTCTCCTAATGCAAACTTGGCTCCTAGACAAGGAATTGCCTGAGTAGGGAAATAAGTAGAAATTAGGCATGTGGGAGTAGGGGTGGTTTTGAGGAGAAAGTAAAACCCAGGAGTTGGTGGGAGCTGGAGACTGTTTCCAACAGACAGTGTACAACAAAAAAGACTCTGAGCCCTGAAGCGATCCTTATCAGGGGACTGATCACAGTCCTCAACTCAAGTACAAGGTGTAGAGAAAGGTAATCAACGGTCCTGGAGACGTAGACGGGGCAAGCCAGGGAGATGTGTGTATGTCTTGATAGTTTTTCAAAGCCCTGCTTTGCGAGGCATCTAGAAGACTTCTTAGAGCAGTCCTTCCTATTTATTACAAGTTTATAGTCTCAAACTGTTCATTGCAGTTGCTCCAAAAACATGTTAGAACCAGTTTATGGACCCTCCCTTCCCTGGTAGCTCAACAGTAGAGAATCCACCTGCCAGTGAAGGAGACATGGGTTCTATCCCTCATCCAGGAAGATCCCCTGGAGAAAGGAATGGCAATGCACTCCAGTACTCTTGCCTGGGAAATCCCATGGACAGAGGAGCCTGGCGGGCTACAGTCCATAGGGTCACAGACGAGTCGGACACAGCTTAGCAACTAAACAACAACGTCGGCCCTCTCTGGGATATTGTGCACATAATTGCAGTAACTAATATGTTGAAAATACTATAAAAATTGTTCAAAATATAGATTTGAGAATGTTTTGGCAATCACTGGAAGGATATAGGAAAAATAGGAATGTTAATGATTTCTGGGGGTGGGGGACTAAGAAGAAATATAAGAGTAGTTTAGATCTCACTGCTTACCCTTTTATATTGTTAGAACTGTTTACCTTGTATATTTACCACCTATTCAAACAAGTTTAAAAGAGAACTAAAGAGACACATTTATACCATAGCATGAATACGTTTGAAAAGAGGGATTTTAATGTATATTAAAAACTAAATTAATGATTTGTTAATAGAACAGTGACAACAGTGATATCACTATTGTTTTGTCTGTTACAGCTTGAGAAAAAAATGGGATTAGACAGATATCAATTTTGTGTGTCCTTTATAAATTTGTCCTTTTTTTTTTCCAGTTTGCAGCTCATCTTGTGAAGATGAAATATCCGAGAATCTGTATTCTAGATGGTGGCATTAATAAAATCAAGCCCACAGGCCTCCTCACCGTTCCATCTCCTCAAATATGAAGAACAAGAGCATGGCTGTTAAAAGGACAGAATAGCCTCACCCCTCGCAGCACAACTGTCCACAGCCTCGCCACTCTGACAGAACTAGACTTCCAGATTGTTACATCTTCATGAAGTTTTGTCATGAGACATTTATTTTTTAAAACGCATGACCCAAATGTTCAGCTATCCAGGAAACTTGACTGTACATGTATTGCTGAAAGAATTTTCTTCATGGTGAAATCCGATCATGTATTTTTTACCACACCAACACAAAGCCAGAAGAATTCAACTGACGAGGCAGGTTTAACATTATCAAGAAATCTCGTTGCACTGAAAAAGCTGTCTTCCACAGCACTGAGCAGACAGTCCTAACAGAGGTATTCGTTAGAAATATAGACTGAATGTGGGCTGAAATCATTCTTCCATGATAAAGAAAAGTGAAAAGCTATTCACCATACATTCCTTATAAGTACATGCTACATTTGGTACTGATTTTTGGCCCAGACGTGTGTATGCGTGTGTTTAGAGGGAGTATTATTTAGCCCATCAGAGAAAATAATAACAGTTCTGGAAAAATGAAAGTCAGAGACTATTCATATTATATAGAATATTGTTCAGCTTCTGTAGCTGAGACACTAAAAATAAGAGTGACTTAGACAAAATAGAACTTTGTTTTTCTCTCATGTAACACCCTTGCAGAGTCAGTGTAGGGCTACTGTATTGGATTCATAGTGATTCAGAACTGAGGTGTCTTTTTTCACTGCCCTACGACCCTCAACACTGGGTTTCTATCTCATAGACCAAGATGGCTGTTCAACTCCCTCCGTCACACCTGCAGTTCGGAAGGAAGGGAATCTCAGAGGAGGGAGGGGGAAAAAGAAGAGAAGGTAAAAATAGGGAGGAAGAAGAGAAGGGGGGGCATGTTCCTTCTCTTTAAGGGCACAAACCAGAAGTTGCACATGTTACTTCTGCATACATACTATTAGCCAGAACTTAGGCATGTGGCCACAACTAGCTATCAAGAAAACTTGAAATATAGTTTTAACTGGGCAGTCATTTACCCAGTTAAAATTTTTATTACTGTTTAGGAAGAGGAGAACACATTGAAGGACAGCTGGCAGCCTCTGCCACATAATTCTAAAAATCAAGCATTTCGTTGAATCTAAGATATATCACAACTTTATGCACCATGAAGAAAGAAAAATGCAGCCAAATAAACTGTGACACCCTATCAATTATAGGATTTATTTCCATTTCAGAAATGTGAAAAAACATGCATCTTAGAATTATTAAAATACAGTATGTTTTTTTGACTATGTTCAATTTTGTTTTAACTAAAACATGATTTTTTATCTTTAACTTGTATTCCTCTTTAGTATTAGGACTACGTAAGTAGAATATTTCAATAAGAACCTCAGTCCAACTTTCCCGATTATGGTTTTATCACTGCAGTTTGTTTTGGGGTTTTTTGTCATCTATATTTTTAATTCAGATATAATTTGTATACCTTAAAATTCAGCCTTTTAGAATGTATAATTCATGTTTTTTAGTAGATTCACAAACCTGCTCAATAATCACTGTTAATTTCAGAACAGTTTCAAAACCCAAAGAAGAAATCCTCTACCTATGAGCAGACATTCCCCATTGATCCCCTCCCAAGATCTTTAATTTGATTTTTATGTATGGAGTGAGATAAGTAGCCAACTTCATTCTTGCACGTAGATGTCAAGTTGTCCCAGCAGCTGTGTTGGGGTTTTTTTTTTTGCTCAATTAAATTATATTCAGTCATTCACTAAATAAAATATCACTATTTGCAAGACACTGCCATAATCAATGGTTGTATCATTCTGTGATCTCCACAGAATATACAAAGAAAAATGTGAGAATTAATGAGAAAAGAAAATTTTACCATGATTCCTCTAATATCATTTACCATCATCTACCCTGGTTAGGAAAATAAGTCATCCTATCCATTCCTTCTGTCTTTGATGACTTATTTGGCTGCATAATCAGTGCAGCACTGATGATTGTTTGGGAGAAGTGCTTCTGTCTTAACTTTGCCTTCCTGAAAAGGCAGAGAAAGATGGAGGAGCAGAGATGTGAACTGAAAAGGGTTATAGGTAGTGAGAGAGGGTGAAGACCTGCGTTGTGAGGGTGGCTGTGTGAGAATATAATAGCAGCCAACCTCCATTACAACTTTGCATTTGTTCTTTCTTTAAAGTGATACATTTAGGCTTATTTTGAAAAACTTGGGAGTTTTTTTTAAAGCATTCAAATTATTAATAATATTTAATATTCTCAGCAGTAAAATAAGCAAGCATACAATCCCTGCCACATCTACATGCAGGGTATGTTATTCAATGGCAAATGATTTCAACAAAGTTGACCTCACAACTATTTGTTGAATTAAACCCTGTGTAACCCATGACTTGTAGAGGTCCTTTTTAATTTATTATTGACTCCTGCACAGTCACTATCAGCACTGTTTATTTTGGCATCAGCAGTCTCTTCCTTCTGCCTGGAATGTCCCCTATTACCACCACCAGCTCCATAGACACACACACACCCACACGCACACATTTACGGATTCTTCATAGTCTGGCACCAGTAGCATGGTCTCCAGTTTTCTCTGACTTCTGTGTGCTGCACTGAGCCCCAAGTCTATCAAAGCATTCCATTCATACTTCTAGTAATGGACTTATTACATCACTTTGCAATTATCTGTTCACTTTTGGAACCCCTATTTTTAAAACGTGATCTCCCTTTAAAGTTAGAGTCTATAATTTATACCTTTTGTTATCTTCAGCAACCCTGTACACTGGCAATGCTTGATATATGTAGAATTGAATCGCTAGCTTAGAGATTTTATATGAATATAAGAAATCCAGGTAATTTTTTTCAAGTGCCAAACTCATCTGGTACCTGATGATATATAAATAGAAATTTCAATTCATGGAGTAAAGATAGGATCTCTAATATCTTACCCAACTCTAAAATTCTATACAACAGGATAGACTAAGCTAGTTGCATCCATTTTCCAAAACATAGAAATGCTAAATTTAGAAATATTAATAAAAATATCTCATATTTAACTAAGACTGAAAGAATAAAACAAATTTCTGATGTCAGCTATGAAGAGGAGCTGGGATATCAGATATCAATATAAGCCCTAGGAGCTGAAGTTCATAGGGATAGAGGCCTTGGGTCTTCTGGTAAGGAGTTGGTACTAAGACTCCTTTATAAAGTGACAGTTTCAAAGAACTCTTTGCTCCATGAAATGACTAGAGGTGGCTTTGAGCCAAATCAGGGAAACTACAGGGAAAATGGTCATGGCCTGATATTTTGGGGGAAGACATCTGTTATAGACAGATGGAGACATTTAATGGAAAGGCTGGATTAAGTCCCCAGACTAGGACAGGCCTTAGGGCATGTGTTTATCTGACTGTTTAAAAATGAGAATAATGGACCTTCCCTGGTCGCTCAGTGGTAAAGAATCTGCCTGCCAATGCAAGAGACACAGGTTTGATCCCTGATCTGGGAAGATCCTAGATGCTGCTGGGAAGAGCCTAGATGAGTGCTCCACAGCTACTGAACCTGTGCTCTAGAGCTCGGGAGCTACTGAAGCCACCCACTGAAGCCCTCGCGCCCTAGAACCCGTTCTCTGCAACAAGAGAAGCCAGCACAGTGGGAAGCCTGCATTCCACAGCTAGACAGCGCTCTGGCTCTCAGCAGCCACGGAAGAGCTCACATGGCAACAGGAGCCCAGCACAGCCAAAAAATAATAATTTTTTTTTAAATGAAAGCAATGAATTATATCAAACTTCTGGAAAACATAGTACCAGATATTTGTTTGACTCCTTTGTTTCTTCCTCCAAATAGTTACCAAAAAATACTTCTTTAGAAATTAATAGCAAAAGTGTGGTAGAGTCTTTGAAGAGGACCTCCGGCAGTAGTCTCCCTGGTGAAATCCACTACAAGAGGGAAGTTGCTGCCTTGACTGCCATGGGTTGTGGTTGCTTCACTCTGTCAAAGTCATAATAGTCATCTCACTGGTATACTTGCTGGCTCTACTTATGCCTATTGTTAACCAAACAATGCATTTTTCTTGATCATTCAGTAAGCCAAAGAGTGGAAGCAAAATGAGATTATGATAGATTTTTCTTTTTGAGTGTTCAATGTGTACTAGTTCTGGTAGAACTAGTACACATTGTAAATTAGCTATTTTAAAAGTGTTTTTTTAAAGTTACATGTATTTTTATCTTCTCTGAGTAATTTTCTTGTTAATATCTTATGATAGGTGCTTGTCACATGAAGACTAAACTTGGATCTTGGCAAATTCCATATTCTATAGATAGACTGTTATATTTGTGGCTGGCACTAGTGACTTTCCAGCCTAATGTCTTCTCTCGGAGTGATGATCTTTGATATCTTTTCTCTTCCCTTTGAGAGGACTCATTTTTAGTTTTCATTGTTTGCAGCATTCAATAATACTGCTCTGTTCTAATGTTCACGGTGGCCAATAAGCAGTGCATGCATAGGTACCCAGGTACAGTATTGCCGACATTCCTTGATATCATGTACTAATCCTCAGAGTGATGGAGATGTAAACACTGTCCTGTCTTGGCTTAAGACTAATCTCGGAGCTATAGCAAATGCATTTAAAGCTTTAGATCAGATTCTAAATACTGTTTCTTGCCACACTGAAAGAGTCAACTTTTGAAACTATTATTGTCATAATAGGTAGCTGTGACTTTTTGAAAAACATTACATGGCCTACCAATCTTTTTAAAAAGCTGTTATAGTGTAATCATTTAAGTATTAAAAATCGAGACAGTTCATGCATTAATTTTCTTATTAATGCTGGAAACACTTTTTAAAAAATTTTTTTATTATTAATTTCTTCTCAACTATATTTGCATACTCTTCAGTCTTTTATGGTAGAATAACTTACTGTTTTCAGGCTTATAGTTTGTTAGAACTGTTCCTGGTGGCTTGGAACTGTTGAATGTGCCCATTTCTTCCCAGTTCCACATTGTGACCTTGGTAGCTTAAGACTGGCTATGGCAGGAGTATTTAGAAATAGACAGACATCATAAAACATGGCTTTCTTTTCTCTCATTTTTATTTTTTTGAAAACCAGTTAATAATATTTACCAGAAAGCTACTGATTTTAACCATCCTATGCTCAGTAGATTATCTGTAGATTATAAATCATAAAGATAAAGTTAAAGATCATCCAATCCAAACACCATCACCCAAACAATAATAACAGTGAAATGATTTTATGCAAATCACATAGCTAGTAAAAGATCCAAAATTACAATTCTGCTTTCCTGATTCTTAACACATTTCTCTGTCTACAACATACAGATGGAGAAGGTAAAAAACACCAGTTTTGATCCATTACACACATATCACAGGACAAATTTAGGTCAGGCCTGTGTTATATTATGCATAGGATATGAAAATGAAGCACAGAAAAATGTTGACTGAGCTCACTATTAGCTCTATGATGTAGAAGTGTCACTTAGGATTATCTCCTAGCAGATGCCTCTTTCACTGCCTCTTCCATATTCACTCACAAAACAGTAAAGATTTCCAAGAAAAGAAACACAGTTAAGTATCTGCATTCCCACAAACTGAGGGAAGAACCACTGTTCTCAGGAACTCCTGCTATATATTAAGTTACCTCTTCAACTCCAAGACGGAGTTACCCAGAAAACACTTCTCTGGTAGAGAACCACAGTGTTTCTATAAACAGTCAAGTCCTTGATATACCAGGTCAAAGGTGGCCTTTAACCTTTGCCTTCTCTGTCTTGCTAGGCACCAGGCTTGAAGAACTGGAGAAGTCCTTGTATCAGCTTCCCAGTCACAAGTGGAAAGCCAAAGAGAGGGACTACAGGAGAGAGGTTAGTTAGCTAGTTTCTAGGTCTATTAATCATAAAAGAGAAGAGATAGACTTTAGTTAGGTCAGAGGTCAGTTAAATCATATAGTCAGTTCGGTCACAGGTCAGATAGTTTGCTATCTTGAAAAAATTAATTTTATGCCTGAGGTAAACAATCTTGATAATTTATTACCTGTCAGATATTATATCTTTTCTAAAATTATCTTTAAGATCATTAATAATCTCATGTGCCATGCATTCATTTCCATGAATTCCACATTGGGTTATTAAGGACCTGAAAGGCATGGGACGAATATGATCACTGGATTGAGCTCAAATGACACAAAGAGTAATTTGCATACTAATGTACAACCAATAAAAGAGAATCTTTTATTTCAATATGTAGTAAGGATTAAAAGCAATCTCTGCGCTCACACACCATCATTAATTATGTATGGCAATACAGGATTACAGGATAAAACATCTAATGCCGTGGTCAGTATGAACACATTTGTTTTTGTTCAGTCTCTAAGTCATGTCTGACTCTTTGTGACCCCATGAACTGCAGCACGCCAGACTCCTCTGTCCTCCACTATCTGCTGGAGTTTGGACAAATTCATGTCCATCGAGTCAGTGCTGCTATCTAACCACCCCATCCTCTGTCACCCCCTTCTCCTACCATCAATCTTTCCCAGCATCAGGGTGTTTTCTGATGAGTAGGCTCTTTGCATCAGGTGGCCAAAGTTTTAGAGCTTCAGCTTCCACATCAGTCCTTCCAATGAATATTCAGGATTGATTTCCTTTAGGATTGACTGAGTTAATCTCCTTGCAGTCCAAGGGACTCTCAAGAGCCTTCTCCAGCACCACAGTTCAAAAGCATCAATTCTTCGGCACTCAGCCTTCTTTATGGTCCAAATCATATCTGTACATAACTACT